TCCAAATCGCTACAGTTTTCATCTTGTTTGTACCAGCCTCACTCACCAACTGATTATTTTTCGCAAAACCTCTCGCATATGAAGATATATAGAGGTGCGTCAGTCAAAGTAAGATGTATCCGGCTGTTTAGGAGATATCTTTATTTAGCTCTCAGGGGAGAAAAATTTATGAATTTTCCGGCAACAGTAGAACCGTTTCCTTTTACGTTCATGACACTACAACGTAATAAATATTGCTAAATAGTACTAGTATTTTACTATTATTAAAATACCTACTTGGCCGGAAAATTATTGCATTTTCCTTTTAAAGAAATTGTTTTTAATAACTTGCATAAACAATGGTAGCACTTTGAGACCCTTTGAATCCACCGACTAAATATTAATTAACAAGGCTATTTGATCTAATTTCAGTTGTTTTCTGAGTTCAAATACGGTCGCCGCGCTTAAAAATTTGAGATTTATTCATAATCATTGAGCGAATTCTCTCTAACTCTTTGGTCTTGATTCTCAGTTATTCTCCTAAAAGTCATCGAGGCTCGCATCAGCATCTTTAAATTAACTTCCTACTCCTTCAGGTAATTCCCATATCTTGAGGGCTTTACAATAGGTTTATCTATGGAAATTCGTAGACACAACAGCCCATGCAAGCGGACCCGATTGTGAGAAATTATGTTTGTATGGAACTTGTCTGTGTAACGTTAGGCTTTAAAACTAGTTTTTTTTAGTGACAACAATGAAAATGTTTTTTTTCTCGGAGTGTTTTTGGATGTAGATTTTTCAAATGATAGACCCCCCCAGTGTGTGCATTGTAGTCCAAGCTGCTGGTTCGATTAGACTCTCCGAGGAATATGTTTACAAAAGGAAACGGTGAATTGTTTTCCTTATCACCGAAATCTTCCTGAGGAAAAACTTTCTTAAGAATTCCTATACATTTTCGCATGATGCGATTCCGTAACCTTTACAATCACAATACTGTCCTCAAAGAGTTTTTCTAACAACTGTTTCCTCA